TCTTCGTCCTCCGAGGCCCGTCGGCTTTCCATTTGTTTTGTTGATTTCATTTTTAGCCTGGACAGGCCTTGAGTAGTTTCCCCTTCCCAGTGACGGGGCTGTTTGCCGTTCGTACCGTATGCCCTGTGTTTCGCTCTCACGTGCGCGGGAGCGGGGCCCCCTCCCTGGCCTGGAGCTGCGCTGGCCTCGCAGTGGGGTTGCTGCCCCGGGAGTGAGTGCCCGTGCTTTGAGGAGGCCCCTTTAATTCCTCTTCTAGAAAAAAAATTGCGATGAGGATGTTAGGCTACGATTTGCCGTGGTTTTTTTTTTGTTTTTTTTTTTTTCAATTTAAGGTTACTTTATATTTCGTGATAAATAACATGGTACGAATCCTATTAGCTGCTATGCGGCTGTTTTAGCTCGAAGAAAACCTGGTGGTGAGATCCACGTTGGAGCATTTTGGGCTGCTACGGCTTTGGCTGTGCTGAGGAAATGAGCCTCCTCGGGAGAAGGAAAGGCTGTGCCTACCTGTGTATTTTGTGCGGGTTTGCTGTTCGTGAGGGGAGGTCTTACCTCTGGCACTGCTTTCTAACGCACCTTTGGAGTTTTGAAAGCCTGCTGCATAACTCCTAGCAGCTAAGTTTGTGTCTCTGAAGGAGATGATTTTGCAGTCACGAGTTGTGTGGATTTTCCAGTGAGTTCAGTAGTTGCAAGACTTGATGGTGAAATTTGGGGTACAACCCTTTCAGTGTGAGGTACTCAGAAATGTGGTATTTAATCCTTCTTAAGGCACTTGTTACTTTCTTGTCACCTGTGAGGTGCAGTGAGAGGGGAAATTGAAAATGTAAGGTTTGCTATTCAGAAACAGAACTGAAATGCGTGGCTGGAATGTCTTTGTTGTCTAACTGTGTGTTCTTTTTCCATCAATATGCCTTTTTTTTTTTTCCCCCTTGGACAAATTAAAGGCAGACAACGCTGAAATACCCAGCGAGTTTGGAGAAGTCATCCACAGGGAAAATCAGTGATGTCTCAGTAGGACTCCAGGTCTTATTATGGCTCAGGAAAGTCCAGCGACCTTGAGTCATCTCATGGCTGTGGCACTTCAGCCATTCAGTAGCCCTGGGCAACTGTGTGTGTTAAAATTCTCGAGCTCTGCACTGGGCAAGATGTGTGCACCAGTCTGTCTTGGTAACAGGAATATAGGAACCATTTTTTAAATGAAAGATAGTGAGTGAATTTGAAAGAAATTGGGAGAGAAAGACTTGTTGGAACAGGTTTTTGCTGTTTATATACAGATACATAAGCAGACTTGGTGCTCAGTTTTTGAGGTTTAGTAGGAATGATGACTGGAAACAATGGTTGTAGGTTCTTGGGCCTCTTTATCCTAATTAGCATAGTGGAATAGATACTTTCTGATGCTGGCAATATCCTGGAGTAAAAAATAGCTCGATCTGGGGACCTGTTACTATAGAATATTTTCCCAGAGCCAACTGGCCAATCCTTGTGTAGACAAACTGTTGGGAGAACATACTTGAGGAGTATCTCCAGCCATCCTCTACCCAGCATCCGTGTGTCTCTGATTTTGTGAGTATGTCACGCTTTGTAATCTGTGTGATGTCCACTCCTTGGCTGTCAGCACTGTGTGCAGTGTGACTTGCATTCGTGAGTCTCGAGCCCTGTTCCTGCAGACATGGCACCTCAGACACTTGCGTGCTCCAGCTCTTGCAGCATCTGGATCACAGAATCTGCTTTTTGGGATGGCTGGACGCTTGTGCTCGCCCACTCGGGCACTTAGGAAGCCCTAGTGAGACAGCCCCTGCAGCCGTGAAGCTGTGCTCATGGGTCTGTGTGCTTCTCTCCCTCAACGCAGGCGCTTCGATTACCGCCCAAAACCTGACCCTTACTGCCAGGCTCGTTACACCTTCTGTCCCACTGGCTCTGCCGTTCCAGTTATGAAGGAAGAGGATGTCATTGAAGTGTATCGATTGCAGGCTCCAGTATGGGAGTTCAAATATGGAGACCTGCTCGGACATTTGGTAAGGTGATGTCTTTGTTTAACAAAGTTCCAGGGGCAAATTCAACAGCAGGTGCCAAGAATGGGAGCTGTTGTAAAGGTTGGGGTATGTTTGTATGGAAGAGTGTTGGGGCGCACAGGGTAGGTTATCTATAGGAAGGATACCCAAAGAGCAGTAAATTTCAAACAAAAGTTATGGCATTCAGCTCAGCTAAAGGAAAGACCACAACCAGCACAGTTGGTGGGTTTGAAAGTGTTCCCCCACAGAGCTGCATATTGGGAGCGTTTTGTGTACATGTAGCATTACGTTTTGGGTGTCTTTTGTTCTGTGCTAGGATTGTGTCAAGAAAATAAATTTATTTGTGCCCTTATATCAGATTAAATATTTGCTTTTCAGTATTTGAAGTATTAACTTTTCTCTTGTTAAAAACCTGTATTTGTGTGAATGTGGATGTCTGTCAGGAGTGGACAGCTATCTGGCCAGAATGGTGGATCATGGGGATTTAGTTGTTTTTATGGTTCTTTCTTCAGTGTTATGATCAGTATTAAAGTCTCCATTCATGGAGTCATGCAAATATGAAAGAATCTCAACTTCAGTAATGTTTATAGTTATAGCAGTAGAATAATTAAGCTTCAGAGCATGATCCCTGATTAATAAAGAAATGCTAATGAGTATGAAAAAGCAACATTGAAAACCAAGCACACAGAGTGAAAAATAGAAATAGCTTCAAGTATTGTTATTTCAGTTGATAAACTGAGGTTGAATTTATGTGTCTGCTATACAGCTTTTAAAATAAATATTTATCTCATTCCTTTTGTGGCTTTCATTACTAAGTTCTGGTTTTGGTTAACTCAGTTCTGCTCTTTATTTCCTTGATACCTCTGTGAGGTTAAGGATTCAAGAGTAAGCTTGAGTTTTGATCATGAGCTCCTACCATCTGCCTATAGCGGAGTTCACAGTGGGTGGATAGACAGACAACCACTGGGACAGTCTGACTCTGTGATAAAAGTGTGTGTGATACAGCCCAGTACGTTGTGCATCAGTGCTACTGAATCCAAGGTGTGACAGGAACCCCTTCTCCTCTCCTCACCCCGTTGAACAGCAGTTCCCAAGGGTCTTATCTGCCGTGTTGGTCAAACTGAGGTCGGTTTTATTTTAATGTTTTGGGGGTTTGGTTGTGTTTTGGTGTTTGTTTGTTTTTTTTCTTTTCCAGAAAATTATGCATGATGCTGTGGGTTTCAAGAGCTCTCTAACGGGCAGAAACTACACAATGGAGTGGTATGAGCTCTTCCAGCTGGGTAACTGCACATTTCCACACCTCCGGCCCGGCATGGATGCCCCATTCTGGTGTAACCAGGGAGCTGCCTGCTTTTATGAAGGAATAGATGATGCACACTGGAAGCAAAATGGAACTTTAGTTCTTGTGACCACCATATCAGGTAGATTTTGGATGCGTTGGATAGTGCTAATATCATAAAATACAGAGTCAGCCTTGTCTTAGTGTAAAGCAGTAGCTTTTAATTTCCCTTTTGTAGGTTATTTGCAATGCTAGTCACTGATGCTAATTTCAGACTGAAATACTGCCTCTGCACTTCCTTTTATACAGCAAGTGGTATGAGGCTGCTGCTTTTTGAACACAGCACACACTGAAGAGTTGTTAAATGAGAGTCATCTGTTGTTGCTGTACCAAAACTGTTGAGTCTTTTGAGTGTAAAAATAGCAAAACAGTTTATACAGAACGATTATGGACTCTTTTCACGTGGCATCACCAAAACAAAGCTTTCTATTGTGAAGTAGCAGATGACTGCTGAGATTAGAAAAACTGGTGAAAATGTCTGTGTTACTGAGCAAACAAATAAGGCATATTTAGAAATAGTCTCAAAACTATAAAAGATCCTGATCTCTATCTCCAGCTCCCCCATTATGTGTCTTAGAAGCTGCGTAAATGTCCCCAGTAATAGGTCTCTGTCATTCCCTGTAGAACCAAACTGGGATCTACACCTCTAAATACGTGGATTATCACCAGAGTAGATTCCTGTTATGTACTGAACTCTGCAGTCCTTACGTTGCGCTAATCCTGATGTCATTTAAATAAAACTCACTGAGTTCTGCTGCAGCAATTAGTCAATGGCTTATGAGCAAAGTCTGCTGAAGACCTGGAGGTTGCCAAACCTACTTACTCTGCAAAGTTGGCACAACGTACAAGGCACGGCGGAGACCCAGAGTACAGCTACTGGGATGTGGTGCTTTGTGCTTGCCTCCCTCCACCTTCAGCAGCTTTGCTGAACTCGCTCTCTAGATAACCTCCTCAGTGCTGCTAAGAAATTCTAGGCTGTTCTTGAAGCAGGAAGATAAGTGGAGCTGCTTTCCTGTGAGCTGGTAGCTCGCAACTGAAGTGTTTGATGGCTGATACAGTTGGATTCTCTTGTCTGAATACCAAGTTAAATATTTTCATGCAGTTGGGGAACTTCTAACGCTTCCTGCCTGTGGGGGTTATTTGCTGCCTCAGAAGGGTGAGGTTATGCAGGTGCCTTGTGGAGGCATTGTTATGGTCCTCGTTTCTCTCACTCTTTCTGTGAAACTTGGGGAGAGGCAGCATCTCTGAGGGTTTTGAGTTGTCTGGATTTGAGTAGGAATCCTAAAGTTGCTGTGGAAGGGTGTGAGTGAGTGCAAGCACAGATAGGCAGCACTGTGAGCTGACCTTGCTTCCTTGAGAGAGCAGGCAGAAAGCATGCCAGCTCGAGGGAGAGGGCTTCAACCTGTGAAACAGCTGGACCCTCTTAGCTCTTGGGAGGTCCTGTAGAGCTGTTTGTCAGCAGTGTCAGAGACCACACTGAAGCATCTCCTTTGAAGCCCACTGGCCAGGTTAGTGTTACATAGGGGTATGCTTCTTTTGTGGAAATAGGGCAGGAATATCCAAAGTCTAATTTTTGACTGTCTAGACATCTTGCATCAGGTTATCATGGAACCATTCATTAACCTGTAGTGTCTTTGTTTAATTTAAGACATGAGGGCCGGAACATAATATTAAGTCTATCTTGGCCTTGTTAGGAGAGACAGATCCTTTTCAGTAGGGGGCCTTGCAGAACACACACTAGGAAGCTAATCTGAAAGGAGTTAGAGAAGATAAATGGGAGCTTCAGAGCCTGTCTACACTGTACAGAAAATAGAGTTCTTGATAGAGATTTAATGACTTGCTGCTTTATTAAGTCATGGTCAATTAAAAAATAAAGTATCCAATGCTGTCACTAAACATAGTGGTTGTTATGTGTACTGTGAAGCCCAAAAGCTCTTGTGTGTGCAGAACAGTTACAATGGGCTAGCTTAGGAGGTGCATGTCCAGAGTTGCTCTGAGGCAGCAGCTTGCTCACATGCTGTGCCTTGGGGAATGTGTGAGATGTGTTTGCTCTCTGATGAAGAGCAGACCCAGCAGTCTGACCTTTGCAGCTTGTTTTGGAGGGGGCGTGTGGCGAGCAGCCCTCTTCATTGGTCTTGGCAAATGCAGTATTGCCACAAACTCAGACTTATTGCAGGGGGCTGGTTGCTGCGTGCAAGGTGGCAGCAGTGACACAGATCTGTCTGATGTCTCCTGTCCCTGAACTGTGAGGTAACTGCTGCCAGTCTCTCAGCTTGCAGTGCTCTTGCCCACCTTTCAGCAGCCACCAAGCACATTTACTGTACCCACAGCAGAGGCACTTGCAGCTAAAGAGAGATTGTGGCTTGGAATACTGTCACGATGGCAAGCTGCCATCTGACTGTGTCTCCTGACATATCCCACAAGAATCTGCAAAATTTGGTTGTGCTCTCAACGTGAGGAGCTAGAGGGATCTGAGTCATGGATGGTTGTACCCTGCCCTGACTGGGGAATGAGAGGGTGGGAACGGCTAGGCTGAGGTGCAGTGCTGGGACTCCGGGAGAAACAAAAGAGGAAAGATTAGCCACGGGCTTCAGCTCTGTTTTGGGAAGTGAGATGCATCACACACAGGGAGCTACCAGAAAGATGAGCTGGGTTAGAGATGTCTTCCTCATTCCAGTTGTGAAATCACTGTCACTAAATGTGTATTCTAAATAAAAATAAAAAAAAAACCAACAAACCAGTCCTCAAGATCTCTAAGTTTACTGATCTTCACATCCCACTTATATCCTGTGGCATAGCTCAACTTTGATGTCTGAGGAGCTGCTACAACAGTGGGGTCTCAGTCTAAGGTTTCTTTTGTGGAGAGACATGAAAACTTCTGCCCTGAATTGCTGAATTTAGTTAAAACTTAAGGAAGTACAGAAATGCCTGTTACACTGGTGAGCACTTTGCCAGCATCTCTTGTAGGTTGGACTTCCTGTCGTGTTTGTCTGTTTGGATAAAACAAGACGGGAAGTGTCGTGGTTCTCTGACATTTGGATGTTCTGGCATAGTAGTAGGAAATGGGGCAGAAAAAGGAATTGCAGTTTAAATAACGTAGATGTGAATATAGTTTATTCAGTGGGGTGTTGTTTCTCTCAAACCTTAGGTCTTTGTATGGTTAGGTAGTGTTGTAGGTAAACCTGCAGAGAAAGGCAATGAACCCTGAAATAGAGGGAAAATATTTTGAGCCATGTATTTATTACCTTGTCTCTGTAAGATTAATTTCCATCTCTTACAGGAGCCATGTTTAATGAAATGGCAAAATGGGTAAAACACGACAACGAGACTGGCATTTACTACGAGACCTGGACAGTTAAAGCAAGTCCCGACAAACACTCCGTGGTATGGTTTGACTCTTACGAGTGCTCTAAATTTATACTGAGGACATACCAGAAGCTGGCTGACTTAGGAGCTGTATTTAAGAAGATACAAACCAACTATACAAGCATAATTTTATTCAGTGGAGAACCTGTTTATTTGGGAAACGAAACGTCTATTTTTGGCCCGCGAGGAAACAAGACGTTGGCAGCAGCTCTGAGGGAATTCTACTCTCCGTTCAAACCTCATCGGGCAGTCAGAGAGTTTTTTGTGGATCTTTTAAAAATAATCGATCGTGTCGTCTTGAATCAGCAGTTTTACCTCTTCTACAACTTGGAATACTGGTTTTTACCTATGAAGTTCCCTTATCTCAAAATAATTTATGAAGAGGTCTCGTTACCTGTTGGAAGCAAGACATCCTTTGGGGTGTAATTGCTTACTGAAGAACGAGACTTGCCCTTAAGGCAGAATACCCTTTTGGAGCATTACCATGACAGTACTGAAGTGTTGTACCTTTCACTGCTAACCCTGACAGTTGTGTTGGGAACCACGTGGAAGACTGTGCCTTGGGTTCTTGTTCCCTGTGTAGCATTTCCATGAATGCCGCAGCTCTCTGACTTGGCCAGCCCCTGTGTAACCGTGGATGCCTGCTGCCTGAATGTAGGCTGATGTGGCTCCTCTTGGCTAAACTCTGGAGTGCCTGAGGGCAGATGGGAGGCAGCTCCTCTGCTCCCATCCCAGGTGCTCTCCACATCCGTGGCCGTGGGGCAACAGGTAGCACCTGGCTACCAGCTCAAATGGGATGCAAGCATGACAAGGACCTTCTGGTCTGACCAGCTCGGCTAATCTATATGTTGGAGCTGACAAACCTGAGTGCCTAGATGTGCCCAGTTCCCTCAACACGTGCCTTACATTGGTGTTCCAGCGTTTTTTTGGTTTGTATGACTGGGACCTGTGAGCTGTTCTCTGGTTTATGATGGAGATGTTCAGCAGGGTGGGAACGGGCAGCAGATCTACTAGAAGATGGCATGAGTGGTCTCTTTTCACCACTTCCTTCAGCTGTACTGTAAACACAATACAGATGGCTCTTCCTAAGACTTGTGTGTGTTTTCTAGCAGGGCTGGCAGGCTAACAGTCTGCTTTGATGTCAGCTTTGATGCATAATTGCAGTTTTCTAGCAGTCTCCTGCCGTAAAGTCTACTTGAGGCTTCAGTTAGGCCAGTTTCATAGAAGTGATGTTTATTTTCCTTTTAAATTTCTTTTAAAAGCATGGTATCTATTAGGAGAGAAGCAGTGACAGTTTGTGGGGTGTCAGAAGCCCCCGTTAATCCCGGTGCTTGCGGCAGACCTGCCCGCAGAGCACAGCTGCCGCCCCTTCCTGGCAGGGCCTTGTGGTCCTGGGGCCGTGTCCACCAGCCCTCTCCCGGGCTATGGCCAGAGCAGCCCGGCAGCTAGTCTCCTTTACACCCACACAGCCAAAGCTAAGGGAGCCCCAGTGTTCTGGAGGGCAGTGAGGTGCTCGTGCACAAAACGTAGGCCTGCAGCACCGCCATCATCTCCAGGGGGCGTGGGGCTGGTTTCTGGCCGGTCGCAGAGCAGGCAGCCCTCCTGCAGAGGTTGTCGCTCCAGCGCGGCTGAGCAGCGGGGCAGGAGCAGAGCCCGCAGCCCCGAGCCAGGTGAGCAGCCTGCTGTGGGCAGAGAGGGGAGTGTGCAGCCCGGGGACACGGATTTCATTCAGATCCTCAGAGTGGCAGAAAATGAACCTTGTGTTAAGCAGTCCCTAAAATGAATCTGTTGCATTGCGTTATCTTGTCATGGGAGGAGCATGAGTCGGCTGAGCAGCGGGGCAGGAGCAGAGCCCGCAGCCCCGAGCCAGGTGAGCAGCCTGCTGTGGGCAGAGAGGGGAGTGTGCAGCCCGGGGACACGGATTTCATTCAGATCCTCAGAGTGGCAGAAAATGAACCTTGTGTTAAGCAGTCCCTAAAATGAATCTGTTGCATTGCGTTATCTTGTCATGGGAGGAGCATGAGTCCTTGCTTTAACCAGCTGAGCTTCAGATTCTTTAGATTACCCACCAAGAAGGTGATCCAGGAGGCACTCAGGGTGCAAGCAAGCCTGTCTACAAAGTGTACGCTCTAGTTGATGCACCTTTTTATGACTTTGAAACCCTCAGCATTGTTGAACCCACATTTATCTTGTCAGGAAAAAGCCTCAACCTCAAAACCAGTGTCCAGAACTCTAAAGAGGAAATGGGATCTTGGAACCAAGCCATCAGAAGCTCCAAAAGCTTCTTCTCTACTGTTTGTTAAAAAGCTTGTAGCATTGGTACAGTTGGAGACCTTTCAGAGCCTGCAGCAGATGCTATGGTGGGGTAGATCATGCTTCTGCATAGTAGAGGGGAGGTCTCTGCTCAGCCTGACAGTGCTGTTCATTCACTGTACAGAACTTCCTTGTCTTCACAGGGGACCTAGGGAGCCTACACACGAAGTAATTCTTTTCTCCTAATAGTTGGGAGTACTTTGTGATGCAGAGAAGAGCCTTACAGAACTGAAAACACACAGCTAATGGGAGCTAACTCCTACACCTCAAAGCTGTCTTGTGCAGCTCCTGGCAGTCAAGAAGATGGGGTTTGTGGACCAGTAATTTCTAGAGTGCTTGCACAACAACCTGATGTACCTGACTGGTTGCAGAGGCAAAACCTTCATTATTAAAGAACTTGATAAAAAATAGTGGATGTCTATATGAAAGAAGTAACCACTTCTCATGTCAGTAGTCAAATGTAACTCCATGGTTGTATCAGTACAACTGTGTAATATCCTAGGTTTTTTATAGCTAAGTGACAGGCCTCACTTTTCCAGTTTCATCTGTACCGTCTGCTTAATTTAGCATGTTTTACTCTAGCCCTAACACTCTGGATGGTACAGGTGGTTGCTGCAAGGAGAAGCAGTTACATCCTAGCATGTATTAGTTGTGGGATGGAGGACAGTGAATTTCTGGCAACAACAACAAAAGACAACAGGGCAGATATTGCTCAAGGATGGTGCATCCCTTGCAGGCAGAAGCAGAGAGCAGCGGCTGTTTCAGGCAGACTCAGGGTGCCCAGGATCATTTGGTGGTTCCTTCATGCAGCCCTGTGTGCGTGTGCAAGTCTGTTTTGCACTTTGAACTCTAGCCTCCACTTAAAGGTACAGGCTATCAACCTGGCAGTTGCCCTTTCTCTAACGGACATGAATTCCAAGGCCGGTATTTATTCCTTCTGGGCACAAATGTTGGAGGGAGAACCTCTTTCTTTCTTTGCTTCTTTCAGTTTGGGAGGTCTTTTTCAGGACCTTAAAAGCCAGCTGTCCAGACTGCACACAAAGCTGGGTGGAAATAAACTCCACCTGTGCAAACAGTAATTCTGGCAGAGGTGCAGTTGTTGAGGCAACAGTTTCACCAGCATTTAGACTGTTAGTGAGTGCTGTGTGCTCTTCTAGGCAGCATCCAGAATCCTTGAGTTAGGCCAATAGGCTTACATCCAAAATAGCACTGAGGTGATGAGGAGGCTACTCCTGTGAAGTTTAGACGAGCCCAGAATAGATCTGTAAAAATTACGCTTTTGCTTTTCAAGTAACAAATGTTTGTGCTCTCTAACAGCTTCTGTACACCTGATGGTCTGTTGGTTGTATTTGTTCTCGAAAAACTACTTGCATAGCTCAAGCGTTTGAGGTGGATGTCTTCCTGCAAGCAGGTATAACAGGGTCACACCTGACATTTCCCTCAAAGCGAGCTCATTTTGAGGTTCTTGAAGTCACCACAACGAGGGAGGCCCAACTTGAAAAGCAGAGCAGGCATCCAGTCTTGTACTTAAAATGGAGGCTTAAAGCATAAAAAAACCCACCATCAGCTGCTGATTGCAAATTACCAAAAATTAGTGAAAATAGACCTTATCAGCCATCCAGAGAACATACTCTTTTCAGTCTAAAACTAATTATGGAAGACTCAGCTCCATGTCATGACACACTTCAAACTTAGTATTAATGTTACTACTTAGTCTGTGGTGCGCAGTGATTAAAAGCCATTATTATGGCTGAGACTCCTGCAAGGAATTTTCCAGCTGGTGCCATGCCATGCAACACAGCACTGTCAAAATGGCTGTTGAGCAGTCAGAGCAAAGCGTCACCTCCTCAAATGGTTTAATGTGGAGGGTTCCTATCACCCCTGACAGTCAAGACCTCTTGAAAGGCTCAATGCTGGAAGCCAAGGGAGGAGGGCCTGGTTTGAAGCCTGTCTCTTCCCTGCCACGCTGGGGCTGTTGTGGTGTGCAGGGGTTAGCTTTTGGGAGCCCAGGCCTCCAAGGGAGGAAAGGAGCCAGCCATCTGCGAGGTCTACAGGATCTCCAGCCCAGGTACTGCATTACCATCACAGATTTCATCTGCCAAATTAGGAAATCAACACCCCTCACATACACCTCCCCAACACTCAAGCCTTTGTTTAGGAGGAGGGGGCATGTTCAGGGGTGGCACTTAATCTCTTAGATCTTGCTCCCTGGGGCTAAAGCAGCAAAGGGGTAGAAAGCTGCACCCATGGCAGTTCGTGCAGTGGTGATGTTTAAATCTCAAGGCCTGAGCCAGGCTGCCCGAGCACCGGCGCGTTGACTGCAGCCTGGGTTACAGTTGTTCATCTTGCAGCCGTACAGGACTGTACAACAGTCAACATACAGTACAAGCAATGACAGGAGTCTCCCTCCGTGCTCATGTAACAAACTACAATGGCTGATCTTCATGCAGGATGGTCCCTAAAATGTGAGACTGAGTTTTCTGTCATGGTGCAAGACTGGAAGGAACAAATATTTTCCTCTGTAAACTCCAAAGGTGCCCTAGTTCCTCCGTCTTACAGAAGGTGGAAGGAACAGAGCACAAAGCACAGACCCACAACAGCCAGCAGCAGACGCGAGCCCTCAGGAAAAACCGAACAAAAAGGATGAGCAGATGAACGTACCGGAACATCTGAAGTTACCTGGCTTCACTGTCCTAGTTTTGATACTATTAAATTGCAGTCATGCCAAGGAACTTGCTTCTACAGCAGCTGTATTTTAGGAAAAGGAATCTAGTCTCAACTACAGAGACTGTAGTTCTGAGTCCCTTTTAAGATTCCACAAACTTCCTCATTAAATCAATGTTCCCGTTTTAGACAGAGCAGCAGCAACACTTATTTTTACCATTCCCTGTGCAGCCAGCTGGATCGGCCAGAGATGAAGATGGACCTCCCTGAGGTAAGGCAAGAAGGTTTGGGTTTCAGTCAGGCCTACTGCAAATACAAAGAGGCCCAGCTGAACCCTGCTTTAAATTCACAGAAACTTAATTTGGCACACATCACAATTTTCATGGTTGGAATAGATACACCTGATTTGTACCAATGTAGTTAGATCAGTTTGCATATTTCCAACTAAA